GCTGTCAGTCAAAGGTCGAAATTGAATTTGCTTCACTTCGTAATTGATCCATATTTGAAATGTCGTCTATTAGTAGCATGCCATAGATTCACGAAATAATTTCCCGTTTTAATACGATCGACGAGGCAACGCCTGGTATATCACCAGGAATGAGCTTTATAAGTTTTATATTTTTGTTTAATAACAAGCGACAAAACACCACGTGATGTTTCTTTTTGGGAAACTCGCGAGACTCCGTATAGAGATTCCGTATAGTGAGATACACGAGAAAAGTGCCGATCCGTCGCCGCCGGTTCGATGACGATTCGTTGATTTCTTGCTACCGGGTCAATCAATGTTCCGCTTTATCTCTACAAAATCGTACGTTCGCCAATCGACATTCTCTTAAATATTGTTTTCGAGAAAACCGATAGCGACGAAAAGGAATCATACGAAGCAATTTCGGCAGTCGGCGGCCGTCAATCAAAATGTTAAAATTGGAACTGGGCTACTTCGCGATTGGATTCCCTCGTGGCCAACTCTTGATCCTGATACCGGTCAGAGGAAGGCTCTATCGGCGACCGAAAAGTCCGATTAAAGACCACCTCCTGATAAAAGCGACGTCGAAGAGTGGCGGATCTAGCGGGGCTTCCGCTCGAGTATACAATCGTGAATGGCAGTCTCTGGAAAAGTTACTCGCAGTTATCGTTACGACGATCTGAAATCGAGAGCGGATGTGCACGGATATGCGAAGTACGTTAGGTGATGTAAAAAAGAGAGCAAAGGAGAATTGAAATCGAGGAAACGTTGCACTGGTCTGGGCACTACTGGCGTCAAGGAGAACGTAAGACGGGCGGAGGGAGAGGCCCCGTTATTAGAGAGGAGGAAAAAGCCGCGCTGTTTCCGTCCTCCCGGAGCCGCCACACTTTGATTAGATAAGTCCACCATTCGTGCCGTGGAGATTGGAATTATTGCTCTCTCCGTTCTACCTTCTCTCTTTTTCGCTCTCTCTCTCTCTCTCTTCTTATCCGTGCTTCACAAGCCGGAGAGGCGATTGATGAAGGTGTTATATCACCATCATTCTTGTTTATTGTAATTAAATGTTTTTCATACGTCTTTTCTAACGATCTTCTAGCATCTTCTTTTTCTTATATTTGCATTCTTTACTAACGCCAGATTGCACTCGTCATGACTATATCATTGTGTTGATAGAAAATCAGTACAGTTTAGTATTAACAACTTTCAGTACAGCATTTAAAACATTTCTAATTAAAATAACGTTTTAACTGAAACAATAAATACGCATAACTTCACTTTCTTTCCCTGTTATATACTTCTCAATATGTATTCAATTACTTAATTGAATACGTATTATTCATTAATAGCTTTCAAACTGAATAAACGTTTTATATTTAGCAATAAATTAAAAAACAATTTTATTAAAAAATAATATTTATTTTTATAACAGTTTTAATATTTTGTTAATTCAACTTTGGCTTTTATTACTGCCTTTTGAAGCACAATAATAAATTGAGGGCGCTTTATACATGCAATGTTAAAACTTTCATGAAATTTAATATACTTTTAAGTTACACAATTTGAACTTAATTTCGTGACATTACGTTATATTTATAACTATATAGAAAAGTATATTTGTGTACATCTGTATGGAATTTCATAAAATTTTATGAAAAGTATGTTAAATTTTATAAATTTAATGCACACGTTCCATTACATTTAAGTAACTACTGTAACTTAATTTTCAGTTAAATCACTTTTAATTTTGTTTATAACCACGAGCTTCACTTACATATAAAGGAAACTCATAATTACATTTCTAACAGTGTATGAACAAATCTATTCTGTAAAACTACGTCATAAGTTTTTAAAATTCAAACATTGCAACTCTAATTCTAATTTTACTTGCGTCATTTTCTATCAATGTGGCTATACTTTCAATAAAAGACGCTTGAGAAATTTAGAGATGATTCGGTGATGTAGATGAAATCGCGTTACGAAATTTTTATGTATGGATTCTTTGCACACATGTTTTTTTAAGCGTTCATTTTAATCGAAATTTTAGATACTTCAATATGAATTCTTTCGGTTTATATGTTTCTATGTGAATTTTTAAATATTCCAGTTTTTCAAACTGCGCACTGATCACAGCCAATCTTGAAAATGCAGTCTTAAATTAAAGATGAAATAGTAATATCACAACTTAAATTAAAGTGATAATCAATTTAATAATAATGATGCTAATAAACGTCTTACAATTAAAACAGCGCAAAGAATTTATTGCAAAAAATTTGTGTTATCCCAGTCAAAGTTCGAACTTAGATCTGAAATGTATCGTATTACAATTAATCTTATACGAATCGAATCAAAGAGAAAGAGCATTTTTCCTGGCAGAGAGAGAGAGAGAGAGAAAGAGAGACCTCTTTTTATTGAGAATTATTTATGTCTGTCCCCCAAAAAATTTCTCAAGCATTCACTTTTACTGAAATTATAGCTGCGCTGATATACACGAATAATATTTAAATCTCGAATATATATAATATTTAATATCTCAATATCTATCATTTCTACTTTCTGCAAAGAATCCGTACATATCTAAAAATCCCACAACGATTTCATCTCTATATATCATTGAATCATCACACAGATGTCTCAAATTTCTTCGAACATCCACTTTTACTGAAAAGACTTTACAGTAGAAGTTCGTGTCTACCGTTTGACCTTTCGCGAGAGCCTGAACGAAGCAGAGGGTACATCGACGGGCCCATCGCTGCGTAACGTTCCGTACGTTTGGGGCATTATCGGCGTCCGGTACGTGAGAAGTCGTGGGATCCGCGCGGGGCCCTATACACGGGCCCCTCGCTTGTAGTATCTTCTGGCGCGGGCCGATCGTGGTAGTCGGTAGCAAGGAATAATCTTGTAGGCATCGGTTCAGAGCACTGAAGCTGACCATCTGGGCTCGCCAACAATTTCGTGCAGTTTGTGGTCGAACTTTATTTGTCGTTCGCCCTCGTGGCCGGAGGTGTTTCTCTCTCTCTCTCTCTCTCTCTCTCTCTCTCTCTCTCTCTCTCTCTCTCTCTCTCTTTCTCTCTCCCCCCCCTCTCTCTCTCTCTCTCCTTTACCTTCGTTTCCCCATCTTTCTCCTCTTCACTACCTTACCTTCCTTTTCTCTCTCTTTTTCTTCCTCTTCTACTCTCGAAGAATAACAATTTGCGCCTAGGCTCGGCTTCTCCTTCGTGCGGAAACTGTTGAAGGAGAGAAAGAGATTGCGAGAGAAGCATGGGAAAACGGTGAAGGCAAACGTGCTACTTTTGTTACCTATCGATAATTGATAGATTTCAGAGTTTCTGAATTGTTTCTCTTTTTTGGGTACCGGTATATAAATATTAAAAGTCTTAAATGACAAAGATTAAAGACAGGAACACAAATTCTTCTATAACGTAAAACGTATAACCCCTCAATAGAGTAGCAAGCCTTAAGCTATAAGAAATTGATCGATCATAGATTTTTCTTCTCACATTCGATTGTGATTGATCAATTTCTTAAGGCTTAAGGCTTACTATTCTCTATTGTGTTTGCGGGGTAAAACATAAAAAAATCGACCAGTCAGAGTCTTTTATTTTATGGAAAGAAAGAAACTGAAGGATTTGGATTGGTTCATTTTCTTATGCATTATGCGTTATGCGTTATGCAAGACTCTATGCTTTCACCCTAATAGGTTTTCTACAATAGGTTTTCCATTACTTAAGTTCAAATCTTAAGAAGTCAACCAACCATAGTCGATTATTCTTCTCACATTCGATTGTGAGTGGTAAATTTCTTATGGCTCAAGACTTAAAGCTTAGGTAATGACTTATTGTAGAAAGCTCATAACTCTTGAGACACGTCTGAAAATGTATGTTACATTTAATTCTTGTCTCATGCCATGCGTTTCCTTGAAATGAATTTTACACTTTGGAAAGGTTACTTCTTAATGACCTTTGTAATTTAATTTCAATATTTGTCAGTTAATCTCTGTAATCTCAAACTTTTAGTACTTACATGCTGATGTCCGTAGAGAGACAAACGAAACTTTGAAGTCTATCAATTGTCCCACATCTAACATATTTCGTCTATGCACCGTCCGATTATTGTGTCCGGGCTTGTGCACGTGCCGAGCTTGTGCACGTGCCGAGTCATGTGCATTGTCGTGTAACAATATGTATCAAGCGTGTATTAGGATCCGACGTAATAGGGAATCGGAATACCCACGTTATGTATGCGCTGCGATACTTGGCTCGAGATTCTGTCTATCCGTGAGGTCCCGGATATGCGAGGAATGCTATTGAAGTCTATCAAGGGAAGAGAGGTCGAGTTTCTTCATTATCCTGTTCTATTGGACTAATGACGTAGACGCGCACTGGTCAATCTGCCCGATTTAGAAATTCCACGTGTCCGAATCGTGTCAAAGCGACAAAAAAATCCAAATTACGTCTAAAGAAAATATTTAAAGTGCGTCTTTTGGAATTCTTCGCGAAGTTGCGATTTGTAATAAAAAAGAAACATTCGAATTCTTTCACTTCTATTTCTATTTCTTTCACTTCAAGTTTTAATCTTAATTACTGATTGCTCCGAAATTTCTTTAAACTGGTATTCACAGGTGAACCTATTGGTATCACCGGCAAAACTTTAAATTAATGTATCTAAAGTGTACGTAATTTATTAATGTATTTAAAGTGTTTATATAATTGAACGATATTTTTTCATTGTAAAGATCAAAATTCAAAAAAATAAGATTATATAATTTAAAATTAGATAAAATTGTGAACAGCATTTGTAATAAACCATTTATCAAAATCTTTGGCACATAATTAGAAAAATGTTCGAGTCCATTGGATTCTCGAATATCAATTAGGGCTTATATTGATTAAAATTTAAACGACACAAACTTACAAACGAGCAGTACGAATAGTACGATCACAATGTGTATATACATATGTATGTAGTGAATAACTCTTTTTCAGGGCAGCAACATCAGCAATTCCGCGCACTCGGTCTAGGACAAAGGCCCTTCCTCGACGCGCCGACCTCGTTCAGATCCCACTTGCGAGAACTCGAATCGTTCGGAAGGAATAAGCATCACCATCATCACAGCAGCAGTCACTTACACGACCAGCAGACTGGCAACAACGTCACCACGAATTCGGTTAGCGGTGCCTGCACCAACCCCAACAACACCGACCCGACCGCATCGCCGGCTTCCAGTACACACCTCGGGGCTACTGGCGGCTCTTCCGTTCATCAGGATTGCTACAAGCGTAGTCCTCAGCACGGCGGTAAGTTCTGATCTTGTTGTTGCCTATTTTAAGTCGCTCTGATAATTCTAAGTCAATCCCTGATTTGTTTTACGTGAATAGTTAATATTGCACAATCTCATTAGAATTTATACGTTAAAATTGAATAAATAAAATGCAAATGTTTTTTTTTCTATTTAAAACTCAAGCAAACAGCGCGTAAATCCTCATTACGATACAAACGAATATGAATCTCTCTTTAACAGATCTTTTTAAAAAATTAAAAAATATTACACAATAATATTGTTTCGATATTACATAATTTTTTGTAGACGTTTCTTTTTTTTTGAAAAGAAGAAAAAAATTTTTACATTTATTGACAAGAATTGTTTTAAAGATATATATTTATTTTATTTATTGTGTGAATGAATTTTTGGAAAAAAGCTTTCAGGAAAGAACTGTTTGTTTTGTTGAAGTATTTAAAAATATAGCTGGATATAGATCTAAAAATAATTTTTTTAGACCCTCAAAATAATTATGTAAGATACTAAAATTAGTTGCTAGAGTGTTAAAACTTTTCGTAGCACTTCAGCAATACTTATGATTAGTTTGGTCCTAAAACAACAAAATTATTTATAGATCCAGCTAAATTTTTAAATACATCAGCAAAACTGTTCTGTCCGTGTTGAGTATATGGGATGAGTATGATGGTTGAGTACTCTGGAGTAACATTATCGCAGAGATTGGTGCTTGTTTATAACCTAGTAAAAATTTACATACCGCTGGTCTAAGTGTTAAAGTAGAAACAACATCTTCCAGTTTATTTGCTTCTTTGGCTTATGTGATGAATATCACAAGCGTGGTGTGCCGCTATCATCATCTTGCTCTCTTCGCACAACATTCTTCGCAGAGAGCGAGTCGAAACGCGTTCTACCCCACCCAACCCTTTGTCGCGAGAGGGTGAAGAGGTAGGAAGAGGTGGGAGATGCCGGAATGGGAGAGAAAGAGAGGAGATCTCTGCCGTTTCGCGAGGTAATAGTTTCATACCTCGTTCCGGCTCTGCACCCTCTAATTCAACGTAATAACGACATTCAACCTGCCGTTTCCATCTCCCTCCTTGCCGATCTCTCTCGATGCACCGTTGCGTCGCCATAGCACGAGGAAAAAGTGTCCTCCTCCTCGTGGAAGAACGTCATCGGTCATGGATATCGAGACCTCTGCGAAGATATTTTCCTTCGCTCACAAAATTTTTCCGCTCGACGAAAATTTTCTTTCTGATAAAAACGATAAAGAATCATTTGAAAATTACCGCGGTGGCGCTTTAAGTCGTTCAATTACGGTAGAAATTCGTCTAGCTGGCAAAAAAGCGATCGTTTCTCTCGCTCGACGACGACAGAAGCTATCCGTGCTCCGCGTCTCGGATAGCTTCGGATATTTCGAACTATCGAGATAATTTAGGATGCAAAAAGGCGGGAAGGTCGAGGCAAGGCACTTTATTTCTGCGCGGCTCGTCTCGCATCAGCGGTCTCGACCTGATCAAAGTTAAGTAGACGCGCCTCTGGCTGGTGAGACCTCTTTGAAGCTACGTTGCGGTTTCTCTTTGCCCTAATCTCCTCCTCCACAACCCTCGGCTTCCTCGTCTCTTCTCGCCCTGCGATCAGGTCCTCCGTCACCTTCCGGACTGAGAGACTTCTCGTCACTCGAGACACTTCTATGGATCGGCCATCGTAATTAGCTTGTTTATCCGCGCAAAGCTTATGATTGCACGAAAGAAAAACTCCAAAGAATGTAAAACAACTCGTTAGCCGCTTAGAGTGTAAAAGGCCATCAAGGACCAGACTAGTCAACGACACATCTCTCGCTTCAACTACTTTTTCATAAATGGCATAAATGGTTTCGCAATCTCGATAAATATTCCATTTATCGCTCATTCGACACTCCTTTCCTTCTTCGCGTCTCTAATGAGAAGTTCCTAATTTCGATACACCAGACTCTCGCGGTGTAAAATGACCAAGCGCGTCAGTGAATGTAATCTTCTCCCTCTCGTCAGGCTCGGAGGGAAGAGAGGTGGAGAGCTATCCGTTTTGTCTTTAGCAGCCCCTCCATCTTCAGATAATTCTTCTCACTCGATTCGGACTCTTTCTGCCGACGGCACACCCGACATGCCCGTGCACTCACGTACGACTCACGTGCACGTCTGCGTAATACCAGGGATCGATCGGTCTCTTCTCGATCGATCCGGAGCTGGATCCATGTTGTTTTTGCCCTTCGCTCGCGCGATTCTTCCTTTTATCTTCGGTTCGCTTCGCTTGCGACGTTACTGAATCAAACCTATTCGCCTCCTCCTCCTCCTCCTCCTTCTCTTTCTCCTTCTCGCCTCTGCTCTCCGTGACTTCGTCATCTCATGATTGCTTTCTAAATCTCACGTACGTGCCGGAAAGTTCTATAAGAAGAAGTGAAATCGCTAAAAATCCTATCAGAAGTATTAGAGTAAAAATGTAATAGCGGGTAACTATGTGAAATTGATAAGATTTACGCTTCGATAGTTTAGAAAATAAAATAGAAATAAGAAGAGAGTGAAAACATTTTGCACAATTTTCCTCGAATATTGCAGGATAATGCGACAATTGCTTTCTGAGCGTATCGCAATTCCATGTGTAAATTTCGAAGTACAAATTCTTACTCCGTATGCATTGTCTTCGCTGAAGGAGTAAACGCCATGTCGGTTGGGAGGTCCCTAAGTGAAGAAAAAAGAGAAGCGAGCATTATTTCTGTCTCTTATAATATAACCGTGTCCGTTTCTCTTCCTTGCCCCGCCGAGTCTCATTTCGAGTCATGATCGGGGTAATGAGGCCCCGCGCGCAGTGGCAACGGACCGAGTAGGTACCCAAAGAGATGATGCGAGAGGAATGAGAGGCGAGAGAAGGGAGGAGAGGAGCGGATCTCTCTCTCAAGTGATATCAACGTGAAAGGAACGGAGAGGAGTGCCTGCTTGAGCACCAGGAAAAGGAGAAACGGGCGCGGGCGAGGAGGGGGTAAAACGAACGGTGAAGCCACGATGTTGCCGGCATAGTAGGGGTAAGGACGCTGATTATGGGGTGTCAAACAATCATACTGATTGTATATTCTGTGCTGACTCCTTCTGTCTGCCTCCACGTCTACTCGTATAAGTTGCAAGCGAACTCTCGTTTCCCGTCTTCGTGTCCTTCCTCCTTCTCGTCGCGCAGTCATTCTCTTCCTCTCTTCTCTCTGGCAAGAGACTATGCAGAGAGAGAGAGAGAGAGAGAGAGAGAGAAGGATTGTCCGTCATGCCTTCTAAGAGGTTCGTTGTTGGAGAAAGGGACGAAAACTACGTTTCTCTAAAGACGCGTCATGGTGGTTTACGAAGAGGAAGTTATTTATCCGGCTAAGATAAACCAACAGTCGAGTAAAATTAGAAAAATCTGCCAGATGGGAAAAATAGATAACGGGTTTTTGAACTGGAATCTCATAAATTTTAAAAATATAAAAATAACAAAAGAAGATACTTCGAAAAGAAGAAAGAAAGAAAAATATCAATGAATCTTAATGAGAAAAAAAACAATCATCTCCTCTCTTCCTCTCCCTTTTTTTCTGTTAACTTAATTGCCGAGCTTCTCGTTGTTTACATACTGTATTTCTTCGTATACCTCTATATATTTTTCATTCAACTTTTACGTTCTTCTTTTTATAATTCTTGCCTTTTATCGCTTTATTTTATTTACTTTGTAAATTACTCTTTTATTTTCTTTTTTTTTTTGTCATCATTCCTTGCTGCATGTATGTTCTTAGAGGGCTTTTTTTGGTTCTTGTAACAGCGCAAAATGCTCTATCTATTTACTTATTTATCTCTCTCATGATTATGATTCGCCGGCATATTTTTCGGCCGTGCAAACGATTGACGATTTTTACGTGCGGCCAGTTACCGGGTGGTTAGGGTTAAGAAGCGTGTAATTCGCGTTGCGAGCTTCGTCCCCGGGAGGTGCGCGCAAAGAATCCAGGAGCAGCTTGTCGCGAGTTAGCAAGAAGGGAATCATCTCTCTCATATCCCCCACCCCCCCCCTTTTGCCGGCATATTACTCGCCGGCGAGAAAGAGACAAAGAGGCCGCGGCTGCACCAGTCCAGCAGCACATCTCTTGGCTCTTTACCTATTTACCAGGGATGCTCGTACTTTACCTAGAAGATATCCAAAAAGACGACGAGCCACGCGGGAGAGCAACGTTACACCGCTGGGACCGAGATATTCAGACAGAAGAGGAGCCTCTGTGAAAAGAGCGTTGAGAGAGGAGGGCCCGATCTCGCGATTCCCACGTGCCTCTGCAGCTACCAAGAATGCGGCTACCTTTCCGGCTGTTCCGCGGATTTTTTCCACCTACTGATTGTCCTACCGTGGATCTCGGTACCCAACTTCTCCGGCCTTCATGCACTTTACTCGTTAGTACTTAGAATGCTGCCGACGTGGCTTAATGGAAGCCTAGTGCGTGCTTGTACGAGATTATTACGCCTCCTTGCTGCTACTTGCTGCAGCTGGCACTCTTACTTAAACGTTATTTCGATGTTCTTGAGAACAGCACGATCTTATCCGTGTACGTATTATACGGCGAGTCCAATTCCAATATCTCATTTTAACCGACATCCGATTGCCGTAAATCCAGTGAGCACAATCACAATTTTATCTCACCGCATTGAAATTATTAAAAATTCAAGGATGTAAAAAATAATTTAGTTACTCTTTCACATTATTATGAGAAGATATGGCATTACGGCTCTCAATTTACATTTTACACAATGACATTGTTGAATATATAATCAATATTTAAATTTGAAACTTAAACTACATTCAAGTCAAGGGCGTTGCTCAATCAATTCTAGATTCCAAGTTAAATATTTATCAGGACATTATTCATGTGGCGACACTGCATAATGGGACGAGGAGAAATAGGAGTAACGTGATTTTCCATTGCAACAAATTTAAAAACTTTTGTTTTAAAAGACACAGTCTTTTGTATCTGAATACAAAATT